ATAAACACGTATGCAAAATGCACAATGAACGGATGCAATTGTGCAAAATAAGCCAGACACGCACTGTTGCATGCGCAGCATAACAAGATGGTGTGGCAAGTTGTGTATATCATGACAATGGTGAATGTGTATTGTGCATTACATTATAAGGAAAAAGTTTATATAAGTGTGAGGCTTTAAACAATAAAATTAGGACACCTAAAAATTTTCACCAAAAGAGATTGTTTTGATGTTCAAATATCTTTAATTTTATCATCTCAACCTCAAGATCCATAGACATGAGAAAAAAATGGATTTTATTTTTTGGAAATAGTGTATCTTGTAATGCATGTTTGGATCAATAGTTTTCAAAATTTTCAAGTTTTCATAGATCTACTCAATCGACACAATTTTTGAGGCTTTAAATTTTAGAATTAGAGGTGAAAATATATTTTAAAGCAATCACAAAGATTTCTAGTATTGAAACCATATTTCTCAATACTTTTTTGAAAGTGCGCTTTATTTTTATTGTTTAGAGCCCCGGCCTTATACTAACCGCGCCCTTTAAAAATAAAACAAGTTTATATAAGGTTTCAACCTTAAAATATAGAATTAAAGTTGTACCTCAAAACTCTCTCCATCATGAAAGGTTGTTTGGATGTTGGAAAACCTTCGAATTAATTATCACAACATCGAGATGTATAAATATAAAAAGAAAAAAAAGATTTCGAGTCTATAAAATAGTGCATCTTACAATACATTACATAGACCATCTATTTTCAAGATTTTCAATTGTTAATAGATCTAATTGATTAGAACAGTTTTCAAGACTTTCATGTGGAACGTCATCGATTGAGCAACCAAAGACGCAAGGCATTAAGAGCAAAATAATAATAAAAAAAGATCAAAAATATTTATTTTATTTTAAAGAGCAAACTCGATCTAGTCCACATCCATTTGCGCTAAAAAAATCAGGCAAACGCATGACTTCTCGCAGATGTTTCGCTAATAAGATATTCTTACTAAAAAAAACCCCACCCAACCCTGCTGTTAAACCCTAGAAATTTGCTTCCATTTTTCTCGCTGATAAACCCTTGAATTTTTACCGTATTAGATCCTTCTTATTTGATCATACATGAAAGGGAGAATAGGATCCCAATTTTTTCAAACACAAAGGGTCTTTGGAGCAATCAGCCATGGATTTGAGGGAATCAATCCTAATTTATATCCTTCTTATTTGATCGATTTCTCATAGTGGAGGACCTCAGTTGAGCTTTGTTAATGGATTTTGGGTTGATAAGAGTTACGGTCTCAAGGCTTGACTTCTTAACACGGTGAATTCGATTTACTAGACTAGCCCTAAGCCTGCGAATTTCCAGGAAAAGGTAAGGTTTGATGGTTACAGTCAGATCCCTGGTGCCTTTTATGTTGCTTTTTTATTTAATTTTTTTTAATATTTTGTTTGCTTGTTTGAGGTGATGTAACTCTTTTATTGCTGCAATTGTAAAGTTCTAGTCTTGTATAATTGTTGAATTGCTCTCTTTTACAGGGCAGTGATCCATTTTGATGTTTACACCATCTAAACCAGTCAAGGTCACTTGCACTTTGGTATCAGTCAAACATCTGTTTTGCATGTGCATTGAAGTCATTAAGCAATTTAAAATTGAAAATTCAGCAAATAAATATAGTTGGAGCAAAATGGAGAAGGGTCTCTTGGTAGAGGTGGTTAAGGTCTCACCAAGTCCCAAATTGACATTCGAAAAATAATAACGAGAAGATGGAGATCTCAAATTAATATCCTTAAAAAGAAAATGTCCTTTTACTAAGCCCATGAAGATAAAAATTACTAAAATATGAAATTTTAAAGATAAAAAAGTTAACTATATCCTTGAGCAAAAGTATTCCAACTATTACAAAACAATATAATTTAACTTCATTTTCACAACAGGAAGAAAATTCTTAATAGTAAATAGAAGGGAAAATTTAGAGCATATCTTCGTGAATGAACGTACCCTCGCTGAACGAGATGTGTCCTACTCTTAACTGCAGCCCAATGTGTGTATGTTAGATATGACGATTCTCTAATTTTCTAAGCAATGAACAAATCTACTACATAGTCGGTTTAGTCTGGCCTGT